TTTCCTCCAACAGCTTTAATGATTGTGCCGGTTATCCTCAAAAGAACATCAGACACGCACCAGCCAGATGTTTAACGGTGCCAATAGCTGCTGTGCCACATGTACGGGAGAAGGGAAACAGCGGCAGCTGTGCACAGGATCAGCTACGGTGGCTCCAAACCCCCTTTTGTCAAGAGGCACCTCTTCCAGCAGGTACTAAGTTCGGGCTTCATTTTCCAGTTTGTTCACTATCACGGCTGGGAGGTAACTGGAAGCGTCTAAAATTGAACGGCATCCAAAGTGATCTAACAGGTGCACAGTCAAACATTTTTAAAGGCGGCCAGGTGATACTCTTGACTGCTGTTGCAATCTGGACTGTTCATGGTACGCACACACTGCTCAAAAAACACACTGTCGCCCAAGTTGCTGGCCGTGGAGAGACAATAGAACAGGCCCCCAATTGCGCAACACTTTAAACTCAGCTGGCAATTAAGATGCCTTGCCGGTGGGAAGCGGGTACCCTCTGGGGGTGTGCATTCGATAAACCCGAACAAAACAAAAAAACCCCCTTTTCGGGGGTTTTTTGGTTTTTGGCATAGCGAATCAACTTCCGAGATGATCCAGATGCCGAAAAATGAATGCTGAAAAAACCCGAAAAGTTTCAGTTTTCCCCCAGCTTTTTTCGGGTTTACCGAAAACCGGCTCTGGGAGGCTTTAAAGTTTAAAGGGCTCCACTCCCCTTGTTTTCCCCGCTGGTTTAGTCTCTTTCCTGCCTCTGGCTCTGGTTTCCAGGAGAGAGTGGGAAGAGGGACCTTGCAGACAGCCAATCACTGCAATGCATTTCCAAATGCCATTGCAGCTTGCAACTTTTTGCAAGTCTGTTGTAGCTGCTGGCTTCAGTTGTTGAAGCCCAAACACTAGCTTGCTCCTTTCCCAGGGAAGGAGAACTGGCCAATAGGATTTGGCATACTACTCTCTGGCCAATCACAGACGTTTGTTCCTTTTTGAAATCCTGTATATGCCCAGAGAGCATAAAAGCAGGGGTCTCTGGCTACCTAAATCCATTCCTGTTCCTGCTGCTGGTGAGAGAGAGCCTGGGTTGGAGATTGTGTGGTTGGCTTCTCCTTCGGCCACTGCTCTAAGTCTGCTTTCCTGCTGCTGACTTGGACTACTTCGAATCAAGACAAGAAGACATCACTGGTTTGAGTAATATTAGGGCCACTTTCTAAAATTTCTATTATTTTGTTGTGGGGTGGGGGCCCCTCAGTTTATGCTGCAGAGATCCTCTGATTTGATCTGTGTCCAGTTGGGTTTGGCACTGACTGCTACAGTGGCACAGGTTCTGGGGGCCACATTGCACAGGTTCTGCTGCTGGCCTGGCAAACATGCCTCCTCAGTTTATGCTGCAGAGATTCTCTGATTTGACCTGAGTCTAGTTGGGTTTGGGCACTGACTGCCACAGTGGGACTGGTTCTGGGGGGCACACTGCACAGGTTCTAATGCTGGCCTGGCAAACATGCCCCCTCACACCACCACCACACCTCACTTTCTTGCAAAGAGATTCTTGGGGAGACACTGTTGCCTGCCTTTTCCCCATCCCCATAGGAAACAATGGAGAATTGGGCCCCCTGGTCCAATCTTTTCAAAACCTTGGAGGTGTTTTGGGGAGAGGCTCCAGCAGCTACAGTACAAAATTAGTGCCTCTATCTCAAACCCCCTTCCTCCCCCCTGAAAACTTGTTAGAAATTTTTGTCATTGACTACAATGGCCCCATAGAAGAAGAGGAGATTGGATTTATACCCCACCCTTCACTTGGGAGTCTCAGAGCGGCTTACAAATGCCTTTCCCTTCCCCTCCCCACAACAGGCACCCTGTGAGGTGGGTGGGGCTGAGAGAACTCTGACACAAACTGCTCTTTTTCAAGGACAGCTGTGCCAGAGCTTGCGACTGACCCAAGGTCACATCAGCAGGTGCAAATGGAGGAGTGGGGAATCAAACCCGGTTCTCCCAGATTAGAGTCCACGCACTTAACCACTTGCACCAAACTGGATATAATGGAGCTGAAAACTTTCAGCAATACCTAAAATATTTGGGTATCAATACAATACCAGTATTGGTATTCGGGGTTTTTTCAGCATTCCCGAAAAAAAATTCAGCTTCAATGTACACAAATCCGGAAAAAAAAACCCTGATATTTTTTTCTTGCACACCCCTAAGACCCTCCCTGGATTGGTTTCTTTTATAGACCGCTCAGGAGGCATTTCTACCAGTGCAGTTCTAAGCAGAGTTACAAGCCTTCTACGTTCATAGATTCAATGGATGTGCAAGGGTATAACTCTGTCTTAGGACTGAATGGCTAATCACCCTTCCACACAAGGATGTCCAAGGGGAAGGCATCACAGAGATGCGCCGTGAAGGTGCTTATGCGTATAAGATACGCTGCAGGAGGCTGATATAGTATCCAGCAGGTATGGGATGCTGCAAGTATGCAGTGCAGAGGTGAAACTATGCTGACATGGTGGTCACACATATTGGTGATCCTTCCCATACCAAATATTTGCATGCCCGGTATGTATTTCTGGAGTAAAAAGGTAAAGGTAAAGGTTCCCTTGCTCGAAAGCCAGTCGAATCCGACTCTACGGTTGCGGTGCTCATCTCCGTTTCCAAGCCAAAGAGCCAGCGCTGTCTGAAGACGTTTCCATGGTCATGTGGCCGGCATGACTAAACACCAAGGTGCACAGAACGCTGTTACCTTCCCACTGAAGTGGTACCTATTTATCTGCTTGCGGTTTCTTGCTTTCGAACTGCTAGGTTGGCAGAAGCTGGAACTAGAGATGGGAGCTCACTCCATCATGCGGCACCCGGGTCTCGAACTGCTGAACTACTGACCTTCCACAGCCTGCAGTTCAGCGTCTTAACCACTTGAGCCACCGCAGCTTTCTGGAGAAGGAATGACCAATTCCTGCATGGGAAAAGGCCTGGAGATCTGGGGGTGGGGTATACTATATTATAATAAACCTCTCTTTTACAACAAGCCTTTTTTAAATAGACTTTTTTTTGGCTTTGCTTAATGCAATTTATTCCTCTGGGATAGTTCTCTTAATCACCTCCCCATGTGCCGGACTTATGGTTGCCTGGTCTGGGTTGGAAAACACCTGGAGACTTTGGGGGTGGAGCCGGGAGGGGGCGGGGTTTGGGGAGGGGCCTCAGCGTGGTATGATGCCACAGAGTCCACCTTCCGAAGCAGCCATTTTCTCCAGGGGAGCTGATCTCTGTCAGCTGGGGATCAGTCCTAAAAGCGGGAGATCTCCAGGCTCCACCTGGAGGCTGGCAGCCCTATCTGGACTGCACGGGGGCTACCTGGCTGGCTGCCCAGTATTTCTCAGGGTTTCTACCCTGTCTCTTTGTTATTGCTCTAGTACTGCACTGGTGGACCTCCTGATGGCACCTGAGTGACACAGAGTGTTGGATTGGATAGGCCATTGGCCTGATCCAACATGGCTTCTCTTATATTCTTATGATTACATTCTCAGTGGGTCAGTCTAGAAGTTCTCAGAGAGCCCTGAGTGGTGGCAGTGCATTACCAATGGGTTGGGTTTTTTTTGGAGAATTCTTGGTCTAAGGGAATTTCCCAACAAGGAAAGGCACCATTTCCCCCTTCCTACCATCACAATTGTTAAGGCTAAGATTGCAACTCTGCTTAGGATTGTGCTGGTAGAAATGTCTAGAACAAAATACTGTCGACGTGTCTACAAAAGAAAGCAAACTAGGTAGGGTACCCCCCTCTGGTTTATTATAAAAAAACTGCAATACTGTTTCAAGGTATCTGAAGAAGTGAGAAGTGACTGCCACATATTTTGTAAGTCTTTAAGGTGCTACTGGACTCTTGCTCTTTTGCAGGGCTCTTTTTGTAGAAAAAGCCCAGCAGGAACTCATTAGCATAATAGGCCACACCCAACAGCAGGAACTCATTAGCATATTGGGCCACACCCCTGACAGCACAGCTCATTAGCACATTAGGCCGCACCCCCATGTTACCAGAAGTGTGGTTATTCAGCCACACCCACCTTTTGCTTGTTACTCTGTTTACCTTGTTTGTTCTCAAAACCCAGGGCTTTTTTGTAGCAGGAACTCCTTTGCATGTTAGGCCACACACCCCTAATGTAGCCAATCCTAATGAGTTCCTGCTGTTGGGTGTGGCCTATTATGCTAATGAGCTCCTGCTGGGCGTGGCCAACTCGGGAGCCAGCCGGAACTCCGTTCCTGTGCGTTCCTGCCCAAAAATAGCCCTGCTCTATGGTATACCATAGAGTCTGTCTTCTGAAGCGGCCATTTTCTCCAAGAGAACTCATCTCTACTCTGGAAAGGTCAGGCATCAGCCCAGGCCCCACCTGGAGACTGGCAACCCCATTCTGGAGGCAAGGACCAAGGAAGTGTGACTGGCATTTAGAGTCTTAGCACAATATTATTCTTCATTCGTGACCATCCCGTGTAACTTTACAGTCCATTAAACATCAGGGTGCGTGGAAGGCTGTGAAAAATGAGAAGCCAAAAGGGGAAGTCAAATCGTTTAAAAAAGTTTCAACTTCCCAAATGTCTTTTGAAACTCGAGAGCGTGACGAAACACTGTTAAAAATATTAGTCAGTGGCCAGATATACAGGTAAGAACAACAAAGCAAATGATTAGATGGCCGGCTCTCAGGAATTAAAAGAACTCTCTCCTGAAAGAGAATCCCTTCTCAACAAGGAAGCAGCAACAGTATTCATGACGCTTCTGAGACACTGATGTGCGAGGCAACTGTTCCGTACCCCTTCTGCACTTTCCGACAATTCCCGTCAGCTCCTGAGCCTCCAGAGTGCTTGAAGACTATTACCCCGGAGGCTATCGTGGCATCCCCGAGGAGAGTTAACGCCTTCTTAAGAGAGCTGCCTACATCAAAGAAGAGACCTCTTGCCAGATAAACACAAAAGCGGAGCTCAAGTGACAGACAAACCAGTGACAAGATCTGTAAACAGGCCATTTATTTTGGGATAACATCGATTTAAAACGTTAGTATTGAGCATCTACAATAGCTGACCTTTCCACAAACATCTATTTTCACTCTTCCACTTCAGGAAAAAAAAAAAAGTTCTTAGGAATGTGTACAACAGAAAATGATACGTGCTTAGACTTGCCCGGTGTACTAATAACACACACTGTGTCAAGCTCTGCTGTCTTGGAAGAGGGTCGTCTCCGTCGGGGTTTGCTGTTTATTGCATTATTCCTCTGGACGTCCAGTCAAGCCAGGAACTTTGGCTTGGGTACCCAGTGGTGCTGCGCTGATCTTGCCTGAGCTGTGGAACGAAGGCAAGAGGAAGTGATGCAAAAACATCAGAGTGGCAAAACAAATTATGGGAACATTTTATTTATGGGAAGACAACATATCAACAAACCCAGCACTCTAATAAAATGTTTCAAGCAACTTGGTTCCCGATAGTTCAATACCTCACAGAAAAAGAAATCATTCCGAGAAATGAACATTTCAAGCACCTGCTTTACTTCTAATACAGTTGATGATACCTTTGACAAACTTATAAACGAAAAATCTATTCAGCCATGCACTTTAATTGTTGTACAGTTGATTTATATTTCATATTTGTAATATTCTCATGTGAATGTTGTTAACCTGTTATATTTTGACGTTGTGTAAGTTAAAAAACAGATCTATCATAAATGGTTATATTTATAGGCTGTAGCAGATATTCTGTAATGGTCAGACTGATGCTGTATGGCGAGAATAGATGTTAAGAAAGTAAGCAATTATTCTTATTAATTTATAAGCAAAACGTATTTGACGTATGTAATGTTAATATTAACAAAAACAATAAAAAATTTACTTTAAAAAAAACAATAAAAAATTAAATTAAAAAAAAAGAAAAGGAAGTGATGCAAAAAAGAAGCCGGCTACTGCTGACCTTTCCTACTGAGAGCAAGGAGTTCTGAGGGCAGAAAGGGGCCTTCCTTCACTGCCTGAAACAGGAGCTAGAGTGACAAACCACCTGAACAGCACAGGGCTCTGCAACTCCCTTCCTTGCTGACGTACTTGCCACTCCCGACCCGACTTGGACGGCCCAGGCTAGCCCGATCTCATCAGATCACAGAAGCTAAGCAGAGTCAGCCCTGGTTGGTACTTGGACGGGAGACCACCAAATAAGTCCAGGGGTGCTACACAGGAGCAGGTGATGGCAAACTGCCTTTGCCCATCTGTTGCCTTGAAAACCCTACAGGGTTGCTATAAGCCAGCTGTGACTGGACGGAACTTTCCACCCCCTCATTCAAAAGATCTGGGATGACCCATTCTGAGAACACCCCCTTGTAGTAAAGGCTGGACAAGATATGCAAATGCCATGCTTGAAACAAGGCAGGCAATAGGGTTCAGTCCGGGATCCTTTTCCCCTAGAGCAGTGGTGGCGAACCTATGGCACGGGTGCCAGAGGTGGCACTCAAGAGCCCTCTCTGTGGGCACGCGTCCCATCGCCCCAGCCAGGCCCAGACCATCATTAAAGGGTCGAATTCTCTGCCAAATAATTTTAAGTCAATGAAAGCATTTGGGATTGCTTTCCTTACTTTGTTTGGATCATCTTAACTTAATGTATGAGTTGTTTTTTCTAAAGTAAAACCTCAGTATTCAGGTTAAATTGCCGTGTGGGCACTTTGCGATAAATAAGTGGGTTTTGGGTCGCAGTTTGGGCACTCGGTCTCTAAAAGGTTTGCCATCACTGCCCTAGAGAATCGAGTCACCCTGTCCCGAAAATCTGACCATCGCAGGGGAACGCATGGAAGGGAAGTCGATTTTTCAACGGAAACTAGTAGAGGTTTCATAAAGATTTCACAAGGAAACCAACTGCCTCCTAAGATACATCTCAGACACTTTTGAAGTGCCATCCTAAGTGCAGTTAAAAAGGTAAAGGTTCCCTTGCTCGAAAGCCAGTCGAATCCGACTCTAGGGTTGCGGTGCTCATCTCCGTTTCAAAGCCGAAGAGCCAGCGCTGTCCAAAGACGTTTCCGTGGTCATGTGGCCGGCATGACTAAACACCGAGGCGCACGGAACGCTGTTACTTTCCCACCAAAGTGGTACCTATTTATCTACTTGCAATTTCTTGCTTTCGAACTGCTAGGTTGGCAGGAGCTGGAACTAGAGACAGGAGCTCACTCCGTCATGCGGCACCCGGGTCTCGAACTGCTGAACAACTGACCTTCCACAGCCTGCAGTTCAGCGTCTTAACCACTTGAGCCACCGCAGCTCCTAAGTGCAGTCACACCCTCCTTAAGAATTACACACTGAAGTCAAGGGGGTTAGAAGGGTGCCATTTTGCTTAGGACGTCACCGTGGCCAAATGAATCTGGGAAAGCCAAGGTCGAAATCCCCACTCTGCCATGGAAGCTCACCGGGTGACCTTGGACCACTCACAAAATCTCAGCCTAACCTACCTCACAGGGTTGATGTGAGGATAAAATGGACGAGAGGAGAACAATACAGACCCCTTTTGAGTCCCTGCTGGAGAGAAAGGCAGGGTATAGATGAAGTGAATGTATTCTAAATAGTACTTTGCTTCTTCCCGTCAGAGCATCTTCCTCGAACAAAGGAACCATTCACCCGACTAATCTCCACAACAGCTAGAAGTCAGCGATCCAGTTAGCCAATATTATGCTCAGATTCTACACGGGATGTAAGGGTCTTGAGTTACTTGCTGTGGGACATTTCAGTCCCCTCGCTATTTCAGAATTCAGACACACGGATCTGTCTCCTTCAAATGGTCCTCAGGCCAGAGTGTTACACTTTCGATACTGCTTTAGCAGACAAAGCCAGAACTGTGGCTTCCACCTCACTGAAAAGATTATCTTCCCATCTCACTGCCTTCTGAAAGGCAACACTTATCTGGCTAAAAAGGTTTGAGAACCAGAGTTCTTCCTAACATTCATTTCAACGGACAGGGATTGACTCAGGAGTAAATTTCTCGAAAACGTGTGAAATTAAGAATATTCTGTAACTTCAGTTATCATTTGCAGTAGTTTTCGAGCCACATGAACTGCTTGGGGATTCCGGATTCTAAAGCATTTCCCTTTTCTGAACCAAGTGTGCAAGGGAAGCAAGATGTAATACATGGGGCTGGTCATTATCCTCCACTACAGGGGTGTCTAACATATGGCCCGTGGGTCGGAAGCGGCCCACCCAGGGCTCTTATCCAGCCTACAAGCAACTGGTCATTACCTTTATTGGCAGATGACAGAAGCTGTGAATTATGTCCCCCTATGCTGTCCCAGTGATAATGAGTAATGGGAAGTAAAAGTGGGAAGGTGAGCATCAGGGAGGTACTTTAAGGAAATACTGTAGGACTGTTAATGTTTTAAGCATATTTGTATTTTTGATTTATGGCCAGGGTCCAGCCTACCTGAGGGACCGCCTTTCTCCATATGCTCCCCCACGGGCACTACGGTCAAGGAGTCGTCATCTCCTGGAAATTCCAGGCCCTAGAGATGTTAAATTTGCGGTGACCAGGACCAGGGTGTTTTTGGTGGCGGCTCCTACCTGGTGGAAGGAGCTCCCGGAGGAGATCCAGGCCCTGCGGGACCTTTCTCAGTTCCGCAGGGCCTGCAAGACGGAGCTCTTCCGCCAGGCCTTTGAGTAGGAGCCCTCGCCACCACTATTCCACCACCGCCCCTATGCACTATCGTATTACCCTCATGATTGTCTGGATCCCACTAGAGAGACGAGGCGTCTGGGCATGATTTGGATGACAAGATTTCAAGAAGCTACCATGGAGGTTAAGATCTACCCATCTTGGTTAAACTTGTAAACTTGTATTGTAAACTTGTTACTGTATTTTATTGTAATGTATTGTTTTATATTATGTGTTTTATTGTTATAATCTTGGCACATAGTGCCCCTGTAAGCCGCCCTGAGCCTTCAGGGTAGGGCGGGATATATATCCAAACATACATACATAAGTAAATAAAAATAATATCGTTAATGAGGTTTGCCCGTGTCCTTTATAAAGTTTATACCTCCCGTACCTGGCGTTACATTTTATGGCACACATGACCCAGCCCAACAAAGTGGCATTTATGTCAGATGTCAGATCTGGCCCTTGTAACAAATGAATTTGACACCTCTCCTCTACAAGACGATGCCCCAAGTCAGAACCCTGCCCGGTTTGCTCCTCACCTGGTGTTGGCAGCAGGCCGGGTCTCCCAAGCAGTGGCCGCTTTGCCGGCAGGTGTGATGAAGGACCCAGGACGATTGGTCTCTTAGCAGACTGGGTTAGAAGAGGCGGTGGCTTACCTTTGGGGCCTGTCCAGGGGAAAAAACGAGACAGGAAATCAGCTGGTGTTAAATCGAGGCCTTTAATATCGGGAGTTATTCAGCAACAGCCTTCCCTTTTGAGGATTTAAAGGATTAAATACTAAAACAGCTCATTCCAACATCATGGACATCTCATACTGCTTCACAGCTCGTAAAAAAAAAAATCAACGGAAATCTACGGTTAAAAAACAATCATGTTTACTAACCTGGTGCTGGAAGACGACCCCCCAAAGGCCTGTCACCCAACAAAGCAGGCTTAGCCGCAGGTACCACGGCAGACTGGCCCATCGCTGAATTTCGGCTGGGTGTCGGAAGAAGAGGTGGAGGTTTACTCAGGGTCTGCGGGAGGGCGCTAGTGCTCGGCCTGGCACTCGGTGGGAAGACGGCATCTTCAACGGCGGACGGTAAAGGAACGGGCTCTGCAACAAAGCCTGATTTAGGAGAGCTGAGAGTCAGCGAGCAGCACGGATGCAGCAGAGAACAACCAATGAATGGCAAGGCCGGGTAGCTTTGCAGAGTATTACGGGAGCAGCGTACTTTTTAAAAGCCATGCGGCTCCTTTGGCCAGGCCAAGATTAATTTAAGATCTTGTTAAGGGGATTAAAGTTTGATGGACAGGAGTCGTAAGATTTATTTTAAGAAGCAGACTTTCAGGGGTTATTTTTTTGTTTCCGGTCTGTAAAAATATGATAATCAAGCAGCCGACGTCGGCAACTGCCATCCCGAATGCAAAGATTCTGCTTAATCTAACTTTTATAAAAATATAGACATGTAATGGCTTTTGGTACGTGAAATGTGATTGTTATCAGGGGACAGGCAGGGAAAGGGGAAGCGGTTGCTTTTCAAGACAATTGGATGCACCAAGGATTTTCAACTACTGATCTGTGTGCGGATCAGGGCTTCCCGCTAACCCACTTTGCGGTAGCGGCTCCCCTGAGCCACCAGTGTGGGAATGTTCCGCCGCTTCTTTTTGCAGTGACTCAAACGGCCTGTGTTCCCACAAGTGAGAATTAAACGTATCACGCCAAAAAAATAGACAGATTTTTATTTTCCCACACCCCTGTGTGAATGGGGCCAAAGATTCTACCCACCATCCTCTCTGATGGAGAACAGCTCTAAAAAGGACCGCTGGGTAAAGATGGGCAGCTGGCATGCAGGTGGTGGTTCAGGACACAGAAAAGAGCACGTGTATATAGGCATGTGGCCTGTAGCTCCACTTTAAATACCACATACCCAGGTTAGACCTATGGGAGATATTACCTATGGGAACTACGTGTGTATGAGCATCAGTTGAGCGAAATTTTAGAGAAACGTTTCCATTTAAAATGAGATTTTATGGGTTAGCAGGGCTTTTAATTTGATGCGACAGGCGTTGCAACTTTTATATACAGAACGTGGCTTTGGAATAGTGGGATTGAGGGGGGTGGTCTGGGGGAAGAAGTTGGGGGGTGAGGGGAATCACGAATACCTTCAAGCTTATTTCTCCTGGTCTTCAGGTAGTCACTTATGGAATTCAGTTCTTCCAGGAATAAATGTTTGCCCTCACTTAACAGAAAGAGGAGATGTCTAATCCCTAGCGGCACGTGGTAACTCTCACAGAGCTCCCGTTCTAGGTAGTCATCCGCCAGATCAGCTGCTTTGTGTGAGATCTCTGCGCGTTCTTGTTGTTCGCGGTCCGCAAAAATTTTCTCATACTCTTTAGCTATCAGAGCCAATGCATCCTCCATGGGCATATTACGGTGTACTACGAAGAAGAGAGACACTTTGCTTTTCAAAACGTTATATCAAGACAGAGGAGAGAAAGAAAAAAAAAAGGCCGCGGCTTTTGCACCATTCAACTGTGACGTTAAAAACCAAACTCCTCCTCTAGCATTAACATATTTCACTTTTTAACTGGATGTTATATGTTTGTGATGCAGTACGAATGTATTTAACACTGTGCTTTTGCTTTGAAAAAAATACACAACTCTTTAAGAGATTGGTCTTGTGTGTGGGCTCATTCATTTATAATGTTGATTTCATACTTGGGCACAATTTTATAAATTTGTTCCCAAAGTGAAGAGGAACAGTACTAAGAATTCAGTGTAAAAGTTAGTTCTGGGAATTAGGGGGAAAAACCCCTTTACTGAATGGTACAGTTCTCTCTATGCAAAAATATGTGACTGCATGAAATCTTAAGAAAACACCACGTGTTTATCAGCCGGTGTTGCAGCTGTGAATTTCTCAGGGAATCTTAATCTCCCGTCAGAAATATTATCCCAAATTATGATCAGTTTTAATCTTTGTGACGGTGACAGAAAAGACCTAGGTAACATTTTATGAATGGGGAGGTGGTCTTGAAGCTAAACTTACTTTTGATAGACTGATGAAGCATGATTACGGTGCAAGAGCAGAGTGCTACATTGGATGGTTCAACAAGAACGCAAAATGGGGAACCATCATTTTTAACTTCTTGGAGGGCACGCGTGAGACCTGATTCAGATGTAAGGTATATCATTTCCACCACAAGGCCATGATCCTGCAACCGATGGCCTATGGCTGTTGAGTATTCCCTTGAAGGAAAAAAAGAAGAGGCAGGTTACTTCACAAGTTAAAAGTGTATCGAGAGAGAGGTGTGCAACTGTTCTGAGCGGCTGCTATTCTGTGTGGAATGAGGAGACTTCAGAGTGCCTGGCTAGTTAGGTTAAACGAAGTGGCATCGCTCTGACAAACAAGGTGACTTTGGAGTTCAGCCAATTCCTTCAAAATGGCAGGAGTGATTGGGGTGGGGGTGGGGGGTGTCAGGTTTTCAGAATTGCAAAGCTTTAACTATCTGACAGTTGTGCTGGTGAACAAGAGGTTCACAGAGCAAGCCAGAGTTCCCCCAGCTGGAGGGCATGTGTGAAAAGTACGAAGGGACGTTTTAAATCGAAAACCACCCCTTTCTTGCTTGTGTTTCCAAGTGCAGAAGCCCAGAAGTGTTCATTATACAAAAAAACCCCCAACCCAAATAGTGAAGCCCTTGCTGGCTTCAGAAATCCTTGGAAACGGTATTTTATGGAATGCTGGATTTAGCTAGGTGGGTATTATCTTGCAAGAACACAAGCCATTGTTAACTGGTACACACCAATTCTTATGTTCCTTTCAATGGCAACTTCAAGAGAACTAATGCTATGTATTGGTGAACAACAGTATGACAACTATGAACATCGGGTTTATCTACAGATAGGAAATACTTTAAAGTGTGGATTCTCGTAAAATAACACACAGGTGGTTCTTTTAGGAAGCATGAATATGGAAGCATATAACCAAACACAAGTTTGCCTTCTCTTCTAGCATTTTAACATACATTTTTAAAACAAACAAAAACCAAAAGAGCATGAACAAAGGGGTTTGGGCAGGAAGAATTACATGTCAAGGTAGTGAAGGAAATGGCCACTAGAGATTATGGCACTGCATAATTTTCTGAATTTATATTGGCACTGAAGCATGGATATTCCCCCCCCCCCCCCGCATTATCAACTGGGAACACAGAAGGTCTGCTTCCGGGGACATCCCACCGTCAGCTATGAACATTAACACAATGTGAAAAGCTTCCTGTATGAAGGTACAGTCGCATGGGCAAAAATGTCCAAGTTAGTTCAGTTAGATGACACACAAAAGCAGCAATTTAACCCACAGGACAATAATGTCACTCGTTGTGTTAATGCAATTTACCGGAGGGCTCCCACTTTGCATTTGGGATGCTAAATCCCCATGTCCATGAAGTATCACACTAGAGAGCCATTTTGAAACTGACATTAAGAGTACCAGGTGGTTTCGCAGTCGTGCATTAATCTCACCTGGCTCTGAAAGGATGACAGTTGAGATTGCAACGTTTTATCACCATTTGGACAAGCATTTAATGAGATTGATCATGGGAATGACTGTTCTAGATTAAAAAGTATAGGTGGTCACTCAACCAGGAAGAAAGACGGGCAAAAAAGGGGCCACATCTCAGAAGACTGAAGGAAACCAGGTCTAATGGGTGACACTTCCAGTGTATCTAACTCTAAATGGAAACCCAAGATCAGGGTATTCTGTTAAGTGGATGGAGAAAAGAGCAGAAAAGGCACCCAACTACTTCCCCGTCTTATTAGACAGGAAGTTGCCAAGAGGCAGTTAACATGGAAATAATTTGTCTCAAAATATCTTAAATACTTGTTCTAATAACTGTATTATTTTAGTGGTGTACCATCTGGAGAACAGTCAGTAAAAAGAACACAAAAAATGAGCTTCTGTCACAAAGCATGTCTACCTTTACGTGAATCAACTGTCCAGGTTACGCTGCTGACTTGTTTAGCTAAGGTCTAGAGCAAAAACTGTGGTGCTTTTGTCGGGACTGCAAGCAAACAGGAAGCATGCTTCGGCAGGTACTGAACCTGAGAATCAGTAAGAGCTTTCGGGAGGAAATAACTTGAGGATGCAAATTAAGAAGCTGCGGTTAATGCCAGCACCACAGCCGACTGGAGAGTCAGAGAGAAACAGCCAAGTGAGAAGGGCCTGAGTCACTTTCCCCTAAAAACTTTCATCACTTCACCAAAAGCAGTAGTGCTAAATCCACCTTGAAGTGGCATTTTTTGTACCATAAGATCTTCAAGGAAAAACAAACTTATCTTGATGTTGTTGTTTTGGTGTTTTTTTTTAAAGTTAAATGGGAAGACTCCCAACATGGAGCTTTGTGTATGAGAGACTATAAATATGTATTTCATTTTAGGAAGACTGTAAGGAAATTTAAAAAACTATTTAAGAGGCACGGTGGAGCGGAAATGCTGAAAGTGTAACTAAGATTGAGGTTCCTAGTGTGTTTAGCATATAAACATGGGGTCGAATACCGACTGAATTTTCCAAAGGCAGAATGGAACTCCCACCCCACCGCCTACCTGATTTCTACAAAATACTGCTCCTGGGGGATCAGGGAACGTGAGGAATGTCATGAGCAGAATATACAGCCAGAAGGGGAAGCTGACCGAAATTGCCAGTTTAGTCTGGATACAAACCCAACGGCTAGTCAACGACGGCAAGGCCTTGCTGATAAGACGTGCTCTTATGAACTCCCAGGACACCATCTTTACACAATATTCCTGGTCTTGTAACAACCCAGACCAGAATTTTGGAACATTTAACTGTAGGTCATTATTTCAACACCTTAATTTTTTAAAAAAGATACTTAAAAAAAAAAATCTTAATTAGCAACGCCGTACATCCAAGTCACATGGTTTGGGAAATCAAGGAGAAGTCATCCTATGAGAACGTTCCAAATTTCAACGCTAGATAGCAAAATATTTCATGCAGGGATTTGTAATTAATACGCAACAAGGAGAGGGCCCGTAGGGAACAGCGCACGCTTCGCAGATTCAAGAAAGCAGTCAGGGAGCATGTATAGGGAATAGGAACAGTGTCATACAGAGGTTCCTAATTTGTAAGGTAGTTAGCCAAAGGAAAAAAGTGGAGTTACTGTACCCAGATTTTATAGTGCTCGTTTAAAGAGATTCTTCTTAGTAAAAACCTGTTCATGAGGGTTAGAAATCACACCGAGGGTTGTAAGGGGTGTGAGTTAAGGCCTACCGTGGTCAACAGGCCTGAAGCCCAAACTAAATTTGACAGTGGTCAACCCTAAGCCTTCAGGTGTGTCTCCTCCCCACTCTCATTGAGGCAGGTTCTGAACCCTCTCAACATGCTTACCTGCCCACCTCTACTCCATCCCTCCAGGCACTCTTCCCAGACAGGCCCAGACATCAAAAGTGAAAACTGTGAGAAGGTAAGCTGTAGGTAGGAGAGGGTTCAAGCTTGCCCCCTGAAAATCGTCCCTCCTACCACATGTTTTGCACATGAGAGTGGGTCTGCTGCTGTCACACATAATTTGGGCCTCGGACAGCCACCACTGGTTTGCGCCGCTTTAGAAAATACTTTAGTACAGAAACTCAACAACCCTGCAAGCATCTGTGGCTCAAGGCAAAAATTAAACATCTGTGTTAGCTCCGGTAGAATCTTTTAGAAATAGACCTACGCTTGATCCTTGCTGATGGAGACAATGACACAGTCTGAAGGTCTGTCTTTATCGAACTCCTTTTCTAGCTGTTGGTAGAACTGCAAGTACAGCTTATCCCGGTGAATATCCTTAGAGAAATCGTCATCTGGAAAGAAACCCAAACACACTGAAGTCATGTCGCTAGCAAAGCGGTGATGACACTTAAATGCATAAGCAAACAGGAGCTTGACGGCACCTTTAAAGGGTTCCCAACACTGCTTTGCCAAATGCTGGGAGAGTTGGGTGGTGGTGCCTGAGGAAGGGTGTGACGTCACTTCCGGGTGACACTCTAGGCTGTCTCATGTAGTCTCTATGGTCTTTACCACAAAAACTAGGAGAAATTCCTAGAGCAGTGATGGCAAACCTTTTAGAGACCGAGTGCCCAAACTGCAACCCAAAACCCACTTATTTATCGCAAAGTGCCAACCCGGCAATTTAACCTGAATACTGAGGTTTTACTTTAGAAAAAACAACTCATACATTCACTTAAGAGGATCCAAACAAAGTAAGGAAAGCAATCCCAAATGCTTTCATTTACTTAAAATTATTTGGCAGAGAATTCGACACTTTAATGATGGTCTGGGCCTGGCTGGGGCGATGGCACGCGTGCCCACAGAGAGGGCTCTGAGTGCCACCTCCGGCACCTGTGCCATAGGTTCGCCACCACTGTCCTAGAGTATCATTATATGGAGGCCATTTTTCTCTTGCTCCTTAGTTCCTCAGGAGACAGAAATTGGGGCAGGCGGATGATGATCTCCCCCCTCCTCAGCCAAGTGCAGGGTAAATGGGAAGCCTACACCTTTAAGACTAACAAAATTCTATTCCAGTTATGCCTACGTGCATAGCTTTGCATATAAGGGGAAAGCTCACTAGAAGCAACCCGAAATGTTTAGTAACTCCCAAATGTCTGACCGGGACCCGTCAGCTCATTTTAAGAGATTGGCCATTGAAAAGCAACGTCTAGGAGAAGGAGAAGAAAGAGAAAGCGAATACCCCTTGGTAAAAGAGTTGGGAATAGTTTCATGAGCAGTAAAATAATAATAATTTCTTACCTTTTTGGGAGTACTGATATCTCTCGTACTTATCTTCATTCCCTGTTGATGGGTGATACTGCTGCCCGAAAAGTTCTTCAAAGCTAAGCATGTACAACAGAAGGGAATCAGGCAGATACAGTTTCCTGCAGCTTAAACAAGACGCCTACCATATTTGCTTACAGGAGTGCTCTGGGGGAGGACCTCAAACGGCTGCATAGTCATTACTTTTGAGCTACCCCATCATAAAGATAGCTTTATCTCAGCCTTATCCAAGGAGGTCAGGACAGGACAAACAGTACCTACTCCAAACAACGATCCTGAGGCAGGTCAGACTAAGGAAGAGTGACTGGCCCAAAGACTGCCCAAAAACTGGCCCCAAAACTCAATGAAGTTCACAGCCAAGAGGGGCATTTGAACCTATGTTCCTTTCTTCCACTTCAACATTAACCACTGTAGCACTGGCTGCCTTAGTCACTGACCCTACTGATTATTTAGGGTTAATGTAAGGATCCTTAGGTCACACCGAGGGTTGTAAGGGGTTCCCTTGCTCGAAAGCCAGTCGAGTCCGACTCTACGGTTGCGGTGCTCATCTGTTTCAAAGCCGAAGAGCCAGCGCTGTCCGAAAATGTTTCCGTGGTCATGTGGCCGGCATGACTAAACACCAAGGCGCACGGAACGCTGTTACCTTCCCACTGAAGTGGTACCTATTTATCTCCTTGCAATTTCTTGCTTTCGAACTGCTAGGTTGGCAGGAGCTGGAACTAGAGATGGGAGCTCACTCCGTCATGCGGCACCCGGGTCTCGAACTGCTGAACTACGGACCTTCCACAGCCTGCAGTTCAGCATCTTAACCACTTGAGCCACCGCAGCTCCATATCCTTAGGATCCTTAGGAATGTGGTAAATTTTACAGGCAACAAAAAGGAAGGGGGGGGATTAATTGAAGTGATGCTATAATACTGATGAAGTCTTCCAGTGTTACGCTGGAAGCAGAGCGCACCGATGTCACGAAGAACAGCTCATCAGTGAATCTATACAATTAGCAAGACGAAAGCCACATAGGACCATACACTGCTAGGTGTTGGTTGTTGCACATGGGGTTAATTCTCCAAACTTTCCAAAAGTGTCAAACAAACCTTTAGATGCGAGAGTTGGATGGATTTCTGTTTGGAGGAGCAGAGGCGAAGGCAAGAAAGCCCGGTGTAACCAGTCGTGTTCAAAAGAGTAACTTACACTTACCTGCCCCTAAGTCTTGGGAGAGGGAACAAGTTGTAATTTTAAAAAAGTACTGAGAGGGGAAAAAAAAAAATTCTAACCTGTTAGTATCTTCATAGTCCTTTGAATACCCATCCGGAGGAGGGTAAGTGCTCTTCTGAACTGTTTTGTAGGGATTTATGCTAAAGGAAGGGGGGGAAAAATACAAGGACTGTCAGAAGACCCTTTCGTTTAACTAGAGCAGAACTCTTCCGTTTGATGAGATAAAGGATATTCTCCCCAGGGAGTTCTGACTTCCTGTTTCAGGGAGTTCAGACTAGGGCTTGGAACACTTAACTTTCCTCTGGCAAACCACTGATAAGAGGACTTCGGGACCTGTCTTCTCGGCTCCACTCAGTATTAGCGGAGCTTCCCAACCCAAAAAGAGACCGCGTTTCTCCACACCTCACACCGATTGCAGAAAATTCTCTGAGAGCACTGAGACGTAGGAGGGGTGCGGCAGAGGGAAGGACACCTAACACCATCAACCCAAAACCAAACACATCAGACACTGCCCTCTTCCCGGATCATGGCTCTTTAAGGAACATCCGTCTGATGTTTTGCGTGGTAAGCAGCCGAGAGAGACCTGGGAGACAAATAAGTCTCATCCTTTCATTAGTCAGGTGCGGCAGTAAATGCTTGGCCAGTGGGAAGCAATGCTCCCTCTAAGCTGTGGAATCTTGTGAGCAAAAATTCTACTTTGTGAGCTACTGGCATTAAAGTTGTGAGCGAGCCATTTGGCTACTGCATAAATTAGTGTGCTCTGGAGCCCTCCTTCCTGAGCGAAGGCAAAAATGTATGAGCTGGAGGCTAAAAAACTGTGAGCTAGCTCACACTAACTCAGCTTAGAGGAAAGACTGGTGGGAAGTTATTGCCACATCCCATCCCTGAGGGAAGCTCTCAAGGACAGTGGTCTCCAATCTTCTTGGTAGGGTGACCCACAAGTCAAAATTCACTTTGGTATCGGGACCCGCTTGGGGGAAAACAAAAAAAGAGCATTCGCAAATTATTAAAACTGCACCACCCTGGCACTGTGGCCTGGTTCATCCACAAATGTGGGACTAAATGGCCATAAAGGGAGGGGGGGGGGAAACCCTTTGTAGTTTAAACCACAGCACACGCAAAATGCCTACATGGCACGGTGACGGCACCTTTATGGCACCAACGCTGCCTTGACCCAATTGGAAAGGCGAGGTGTAACTGTTTTAATTAAGTCCTAAAAAGATATTCATCAAATCCGTCAGTGCCTCACGTCACGTGCCAGCTATTGTTTCTCCTTCTATTTGCCAGTCACAGAGAGGCACGCTTGGATGTATGTTCCTACTCTTTGCAAGTTAGGATGACACAGACAGGTTACGGGGAGGAAACTGAGCTGTTTTGAGACAATTAGCATACAAATACAAGAGTTAACAAACAGATGTGGGAATGAGGTTTCAGCCCAGTGGCCCCCACAAGACAAATAAAGTTCAATTCTGGGTACAAGCGAGAACAGGGAGACTTAGTATGCAGACTGCTTCAGATGCATTGAAACAGATTTCCTCAAATATTACATATAGGTAGGAGGGGTTAGTTGCCAAGAAGAGCTAATTAGAGTCAAGATGCCTAAGTAAATGAGCAATAAATACAGCTAAGACTGGAATAACACATTAGGTATGACGTGTAAACAGCAATAAGTTGGTATACAGATAATAAAGGAGTTGACAATAGATGTGGGAACTCGGTTTGAGCCCAGTGGTATTTGTATGCTAATTTACTGCCATTCACAGTTCTTTCTTACATCCAGTCTCAGCTATAATCACCCAGTACTTATGCATCTTGACTCTAAATGGCCCTTTCCCACCCCACCCCTATCAGTAATGGCTGAGGAGGTTCTGTTCCACTGCATCTGAGGAAGTGCCCTTGCACGTGGACGCTGATAACGTGAATAAAATTATGTCGGTCTTAAAGGCGCCCCTGGACTCAGACTTTGTTCGGCTGCTTCAGACCAAGGCGGCTACCCCACCTGGATCCATTATTCAGGAAAGTGAATTTATCTCCCAAGGGCCTTCTCTAATGTAGGTGCTCTCTTTATCCTTAATTTCAAATGCTAAAAAAGGGTCTGAACACCTGGATCATGGCCGTATTAAATGCCATACAGCCCTCGTTTAAAAGCTGGAGAAGCACAGTGACCAAACGACTCTCAGCGTGAAAACAAAGTTTCTGAACTGCTTTATTAACACTTGTGAACCCAGATGCCAATTAAAGCAAAGCTGGCAAGGTTCCAGGAAGGACCAGGGGTCATTTCCTGCGGGAGCGCACAGGAGCGGAACTCCGGCAGTAAGGAGCCCAGTGGGCCGCACATGCAAGAAGCCCCGCCCCCTGCAGCCCTCAGTTGGGCCACGAGGAGCAAGAAGCAGGCAAGGTAGTTTGCGAGCCCCCCCCCCCCGGCTGGCCTTCAGGTACAAGCTCTCCCTCCTCTGCGAGGGCAGATCTGCATGTCCCCCCCCCCATAGCTAGCAATCCAAAACAGTCCAGTGGAGCCTGAGTGGTGGGTGCTGCCTTCTGACACACTTCCAGTGATGTCAGGGGTGTGTGGCATATGCAAATAAGTTACACTGATGAGCTCCTGCACCTCTTTTTCTCCGAAATGAACCCTGGGAAGGACTATGCTGCTCCTTCCTTAAAAAGGGCAAATCATGGCCAAAGCTGTCTGCTATGACTGGTAGTTGCACTGCAGGGCCTTGAGTGGACTTTTCCACATCACCTTTTAACTGGAAAAGGGAGGGATTAAACCTGGGAATCTTTTGTATGCAAAGCCGATGGTCCGATCCACAGTCCTACCACCAGACAGAGAACACAGTTTACATTAACATAAAACCTCTTTTGAGGCATGGGTTTTGTCAACAGTCCACTGTGAACTCTTCACACATACAGACTCATTCATAACTCACTCACGCTATTGCTGGGTGGCAAGGGATGCAGCACGGGAGAGAGCGCTTTTGAAATGAAAGGTTATAGGTTATCCTTCAAAATTACATTGAAAATAAAAAGTTTACAGGAGAACAGCTGCTTTGGGCAACCCTTTTCCAGAAAAACGGGTTAAATAATTTTTTGTCTGTTAAAGGGATACAGAAGGGCACAATTACATACAAGGCTGCATGAAGACGCTTCAAAGGAATTTAATAATGGAAACCCATCTATTGTGATTTACTTACTCCAGAAGTCGTGGGATCCATCCGGGTCTTTGCCTGGATCCAAAATGAAAAGAGGAATAGTTAACCTGTGCAGAAGGATTATCCTGCAAGCAGCAGCCAGTACATCAATATTACAGTAAAAATGCTGCAGATTGGCTTCTTACAGATTTAAGCAATGCTGTATTAGGGCATAATGAACTGGAAAGATAAAACAGGACGATAACTCTCTGCATACAGAGTGACTGCAGAACAGAATCCGGTTACTGATGGAAAGACTCTTATTAGACACACAAGTATGTACAAATATATCCATTAATCATGTAAGTTTTGAGCCCTCATGAGGGCTCATTTTACCATATGTGGTGGACTTGTGAAAAAGCTGCAGACTTTTGGACAAAAGTCCACAATGAAATGCAAAAAATATTGAAATGCTCTTTTAAAAAAGCACCCGAAATTCTGCTTTTGGGTCTTAAAATAGAAGAAGTGAACACGACTAAAAAGACTTTACTTTGGTACTTAATAACAACAGCGAGAATGTTGTATGCACAATTCTGGAAAACAGAGAAAGTACCAGAGATTGAAGATTGGATACAAAAAGTTCTGTTCATGGCTGAAATGGACAAAATCACAAAAAAGTTGAACGGCAAAGAAGACAACGTATTTTTTGAAGAATGGAATGACTTTAAAATTTATCTGGAAAAGAACTGGGATGTGAAACAAAATTTAATATGTTTAGATCAATATTAGGCTAGATGATGTTATCTTAAAACTGTAACGATAAGAAAAATGATATAATCGATGATACATAATAATGTGGAGGGTAAGGGGGAAGCATTGCGGGAAGCCACAGGAGGGAGGGGAAGAAATGGATATAGGTGAATAATGGAAAATTGGAAATGGTTAACTGTAAAACGCTTATGGAAAATAATAAAAATTTGTTTACCAAAAAAAAATAAATCATGTAAGTTTTAAATTATTAGCCGTCTTGGCTACCCTTGTAAGGGCAGAAAGGCGGGATATGAATCCTGTAAATAATAATAAGACTGGTAAACCGAACAAAGTTTGAGTCCAGTGGCACCTTTAAGACCAACAAAGTTTAATTCTGGGTATAAGCTTTTGTCCGCAAGCTATACCCAGAATTAAATTCTGCTGTTGCTTCTGACCAAGACAGTTACCCGCCTGCACACTGGTAAATGCTTGTGCCTATGGCAGGCTGCTCAGAAACACCAAGCATGTATGACATATCTCTACACGTAAGGTAAAGGTTTCCCTTACTTGAAAGCCAGTCGAATCCGACTCTAGGGTGCGGTGCTCATCTCCGTTTCCAACCCGAAGAGCCAGCGCTGTCCGAAGACATTTCTGTGGTCACGTGGCCGGCATGTAGACGCCAAGGCACACGGAATGCGTTACCTTCCCACCGAAGTGGTACCTATTTATCTACTTGCAATTTCTTGCTTTCGAACTGCTAGGTTGGCAGGAGTTGGGACCAGAGACGGGAGCTCACTCCGTCGTGTGGCACTCGGGTCTTGCACTGCTGAACTACTGATCTTCCAGTCTGCAGTTCAGCATCTTAACCACTGAGCCACCGCAGCGCCTATCTCTACACATATCAATGTATTAAATATATAAAGGGACTCCCCCCCCCCCAGAGTTACCACCAGTACAGTGAGTCTATGAAAGTCCTCTGTGTACTTAACAAAAGCATTTAAATTAACCTGGCTAAGGCATGCTAAATGCGAATCACTTTAAATAAGAAAATCTCTGAACAATTTTTTTAAATAATGGGACTTTTTATTACAGAGAAAAGGCCTAACTCCTTAGATACATGAGATTTCGAAAGCTCATTGAGAAATGAAGCAACTTCAGAACTGCTTCTTGCAACAGCTTGTGGAAATGATAATGCCAAACAATCCTATTCTCCCAAAAAGAGAAACAGATGTTCTCAACAAATGGAACACAAACGATGGAACGGCTGCAACAACCCCGAAACACTAGACTTTCAAGAGCATAAACCAACAACAACACTCTAAGGTTACGCCACATAAAGAAAGAGAATAAGCCGGGGTGGAAGAGATGATAAAGGAAGGTGTGGGATGCTAAAATCATGTAAATGAATTGTTTGATGTAGTCACACCAAGTAGAATCTAATTATTTTTTTAGACACCAAAGTCAAGGGGCAGGGGGGGAAATCGGTGGGATTGTTTCCTATTAACTTTTTTTCTTCCTGATGAAGTTCTCTACTAAGCGGTCCAATTACTCGACACATATTTTGCTTGAACTGCTAGGTCTGATGAACGTGCAGGTGTGCGTGGAGAAGCTTGTCGCAAAGGAGGCTGCCAGATGTGCAGTCTGGGAAAGATCAGCCAAATACCGGAGGCAGCATAAGGATGACAGGTGCTTGGTCCTGCTTCATTTGCTGGCGGTATCCTCGAGAACAAACGAGGTCTAATTCAGTTCTGCTAATCAAGAGGCTACCGATGAAGCGGCATGTCAAAACACCTCAGAAGAATCCTAAAACAAAGACCCTCCTAAACACACAAAATGGGCATGCCTAGTATTGCGATCCGGGAACCAAAGACAGGTCTATGTTCAGTGGGATGGGGTGTCCGGCACATAGCAATCAACTCCAACCACTTGGTGTTAAATAGAGTTCCACCTCAAGTCGTCCTCACAATATCAAAGCAAACTAAACCAACTGGAAAACAAGATGCAATCTCCCTTCGGAATAAACAACGCTGCCAACAAATATGCCTCAATGAAGACAGACGCTTGCCAAATGCCTGTGCTAGACAGCGGCAGGGAGCCTCTCTTCCTGATAAGGAATCTGGTTAAGGACTCTAATTATGAAGATCTATCTTTGCAATCTATCAGGGTACCACACAACACGACAGTTGCTAGCAGCCAACTGAGAAAGCTATTCTCGGCTTCTGAAAATGGATCACGATCCTTTCTTTTCCTTGGTAAATCCAGCAGTTTAAGGTCTTTTCCTGCTCACCAAGAACTAGTTTCTATGTGCCTCTGATGTTTCTCATCAAGGGGCAGTGGGAGGAGACAGGGTGCCTCATTTTTTATTACTAAAGGTAAAGGTTAAGGTCTCCCTTGCTCGAAAGCCAGTCGAGTCCGACTCTAGGGTTGCGGTGCTCATCTCCGTTTCAAAGCTGAAGAGACAGCGCTGTCCGAAGACGTTTCCGTGGTCATGTGGCCGGCATGACGAAACACCAAGGCGCACGGAACGCTGTTCCCTTCCCACCGAAGTGGTACCTATTTATCTACTTGCAATGTCTTGCTTTCGAACTGCTAGGTTGGCAGGAGCTGGAGCCAGAGACGGGAGCTCACTCCGTCATGCGGCAACCCGGGTCTTGAACTGCTAAACGACTGACCTTCCACAGCCTGCAGTTCAGCGTCTTAACCACTTGAGCCACCGCAGCTCCTTTTTTATTACTACTACTTACAAAATTGGTATCCCACCTTTCAGACCTCACAACGGCCACCAAGGTGTCTAATAATTTAAAACATGCATGAGAAAAATCACATCTCTAAACCATTAAAATAAAAAAAAACCCTCGCAAACACACATCATTAAAACAATTAAAAAGGAGAGTTAAGCAGAGTTAAAATACGTATTAACATTGGTTAGGGAGGAGAGATCATTGAAGGGAAACGCCAAATGGCCCAGGAGCACGAGGCGTTGGGCTCCAAAAAGGCTGGTAAGACGGAAGTGTCTCCATACAGGACTGTGTTAACACCAAACGATGAGAAAGGACATTCTTTACCAGAGAATCATTACCTGTCCCATTGCTTGGTAATGTCAAGCCTTGGGGAGAATGTGCATCCCCTTAAAGGACACTGAATTAGAAGGCAAGTGAGGCCAAAAAGATAGGACTCTCTTGTTACAGAGGAGTATGTCCACACGTATACACGCTGACTCTATTTTTTAGTAGGTCTGCTGCTATTACTACCTCGCCATCGCCTTACAAGCTGATAACTAGCACTTTAAGTCTTGTTTTTATGGTTATATTTATAATTGTTGTTTTATTTGTCTAATTTTATGTAAGCTGCCCTGAGCCTGCCCTGGCGGGGAGGGTGGGGTATAAATCAATTAAAAAATAAACAGATAAAGATTCGAGTCCATTAACACCTTGAAGCCCAGAAAGATTTCCAGTGTGTCAGTCAAAGCTCCCTTCATCAGCCTATACCCAGGAAATCTTGCTGGTCTTTAAGAAGAGACTGGATTTATAACCTGCCCTTCACTACCTGAAGGAGTCTCAGAGTGGCTTACAAACTCCTTTCCCTTCCCCTCCCCACAACAGACACCCTTGTAGGTGGGGCTGAGAGAGCTCTTTCGAGAACTGCTCCTGAGAGAACAGCTCCAAAAGAACTTGACTGACCCAAGGTCACCCCAGCAGCTGCATGTGGAGGAGTGGGGAATCAAACCCGCTCCTAACCACTACACCAAACTGCTAATGGATTTCAATCTTGCTCTTCTGCTGCAGGCCAACACAGGTACCCATCTGCAGCTAAGCCAAATGAAATGAATGGGATTAGGCCAGAGAAACTTTGCACAGGATTACATTCTAAGTGTTGTTGCTGGTGACTAAGCACTTCATAATTATGGTTTAAAAACTCTCTGAGCAACATCCGTGTGTGGGGCACTGGTCACCTGCAGCAACTGGTCATGCAGTGAAATCGGATATTGCTGTGTTCTCCCCCCACCCCCATTTTCAGGCTATTTCACAGAAACAACAACGCTTTACTATGCAGCTGCTAGCTACAAAACTTTGTAAGCGCTGGAAGCCCATCTCAGTGAGTGGAGTCTGAAAACGCATTGTTTGCCATTGCTGAGAATTACTGATACCCCAAAGAAACAATTTACCCTGCCCTAGCATAAACGAAGCCTCCTGCATGTCAAGAACAACTATTTTCTACGCTCCCTAACAATCAGTCTAAAATTACGTTATACAGACCTTTTGGTTGAGCCAGGACAGAAATGCTTGTGTACTAAAAGCTGTCAGCACTTCCCACTCTGAACTCAACTGTGCTCCCCCCATCACTTACTTTAGTAATCTATATCATGTACTGCTCGGTGAGTGCAGGCTCGGTAGGCGGCTTGTAAAACACAAAACAGCCAATACACTCAAAACATAAATGGCCACTACAAATCATCATCATCATCCTCAGGGATGGGCACAAACCAGGTCACGAACGAGAGTTCGTGATGAATTGTGGCTGGTTTGTGGCTTGCGACGCGATGTTCGTGAACTGAAGAGCCGCCATGAACTTCCACAAATCTTAAGGCAATTTGTGGCACTTTGTGAAGAACAGAAAGCAGGGGTTTAAATGGCTCCAAGCCACTTAAACCCCTGCTTTCCGCTCCCCCTGCTGAGCTATTTTTCGCTGAGAGCAGAAAGGAAAGGAGCCATTTAACTGCCTGTTTTCTGCTCAACACCACTTTTGCCGGGGAGCAGAAAGCAGGAGGTTAAATGGCTCAGAGCCATTCAAACCTATACTTTCTGCTCCCCATAAAAAGTGGCAGGGAGCAGAAAGCAGGGGTCACAAACTGATAGAAGCCAACCTCTCGGTTTGTGTTGATTTGTGGTTTGGCCACAAACTGAACTGCAAAAATGCAGTTCGTGCCCATCCTTAACAATAATACAATCTTCCAAATTATTGGGGAAATAGCCCTCTCAAAAATGGCACAGTAAATAATTTGGGGCCAAACCCTGAATAAAGCTGGTGTCAGGTGAACAAATGAGAAAGGGGCATTCCACAATCATTATGTGTACTTACAGGGATCATTATATTTTATGAACACTCCAACTTAATCTGTTGTGTTACTATCATTTCAACTACGACCAAGCTTTTATAATAATGAGAACTCTTTGTTTAAACAAATGAGAACTTAATGACAGTGACAAGAAGCAGGGCAGAAGAGCAGGATCGGAAGTACATTAAAACCAGTCCGCAACTTGTAAAAGGTTTATATTTTAAAAGGTTTATACAGGCACTGACATTTATATGCAGGCTCCATGATGTCAATGGATTTATAATCCATGCAGTTAAATACAGATTTCAATCTCTTCAGGATGAACACCACCTGCATACATTGCATTACTTTTCAAATGAAGTGACCCGTTAAATGGGGAATAAAGAATTAGAAGTATCTCACTAACTTTTTAAAGCAGAACTACACAGAAATCAAACTGAAGCTTTCTTCTGAGATTATGAAAATCCTAACTAAAACCAAACCAAACATTTTCCGTGGAAAAGAAATGTGAATAATACAATTGTGTTTACCTCTTTTCTGCAATGGGTGTCGGTGCTTGATCTGTGGTTACCTTGACCCATGAAGCCATTTTAAACTCTAAAAGAACAAAAACAAATCCCAATTTTTAATTATTTTTTTTAAAAAAATGTATACCCCCCCCACACCCTTTTCCCACACGGGAACTGGGGCGGTTTACAAAATTTAAAAATACAACCTTTAAAAATACAACAAATACAAATAAAGACAATAAACAGAACAATAAAACACATTAAAATAATCAACAAAATAAAAAAAAAATGCTTGGAGGATTATTTTCCTTGAAACAGAAGCAAGCCTTGACCTGGATAGCCATCAGATCTCGGAAGCTAAGCAGGGTCGACTCTGGCAAGTCCTTGGATGGGAGACCTCCTTGGAATATCAAGTCGGGAGGACAGAGACAAGCTTTATTCAGCCACCTCTCTGGATATCCTCCAGGCCCCAGTAAGGGTCAGTCACCAGAGGTCAATGTGACTCCCAAGTGCGGACACATGCGCACACAAACAGAAAATACCACAAAAACCAAAAGAAAAGAAACAAAAGAGACAAAATCCATTTCATGGGATTATCTGCACAGTGAAGGCAAGGTTAACCACCTGTCACCCTGCTAGGATGGAGAGTCTGGTAGTGCTTACAGGAGAAAACTCCGTATATTGTTTTCGCCTGGCTGGGAATGCCAGGATTCCAGGGGAGCAGTCCTCAGAGACGGGGCAGGGGAAGAGGGGCCACATCTCAGCTTAGCTGGCAAAACACAACCCAAGAACACGGCGAAAAGATGGACACGAAGATCTGATAACTAAGATTATACTATTGTTGTTGTTCAGTCGCACAGTCTAGTCCGACTCTTCGCAACCCCACGGACCACATCACGCCAGGCCCTCCGGTCTTCCATCATCCTCTGGAGTTTGCTTAATTTCATGTTCGTTGCATCGATGACACTGTCTAACCATCTCATCCTTTGCCGTCCCCGTCTTCTTTGACCTTCAATCTTTCCCAGCATCAGGGTCTTCTTCTCCAGTGAGTGCTCCCTTCTCATTTGGTGGCCAAAGTATTTGAGCTTCAGTTTTATTATCTGGCCTTCCAGGGAACAGTCAGGGTTGATTTCTTTTAGGATTGACGGATTTGATCTCCTTGCAGTCCAAGGGACTCTCAAGAGTCTTCTCCAGCACCATAATTCGAAAGCATCTATTCTTCGGCGCTTGGCCTTCCTTATGGTCCAACTCTCGCAGCCATACATGACTACTGGGAATACCATTGCTTTGACCGTATGGACTTTTGTTGGCAGGGTGATGTCTCTACTTTGTCTAGGCTTGCAATAGCTTTCCTCCCAAGGAGCAGGTGTCTTTTAATTTCACGGCTGCAGTCTTCTCAAATCTCCTTAAGTCTTCTTAATGCACTATCACAGAGGGCTAACTCTTAGAACTAGGGAGGGAAGGGTGTCTTTATAAATCTTTCCCCTGTTGCTCTGCAGTTATATCTACTTCCTCAAATATATTCCCCCTCCCCTTTGCAAGGAATGACTTTAAATTAATTTTCTTTTTTATAAAGGTGATGTTGTCGAGGTCACTGCACCCACACAAACATCCTGATTGGCCCGTGCATACCAATGTGTGAGGAAAGTGGCCAGGAAAACACCTGGAACTGCGGCTTTTAAAGAGACAGAGGGAGATGGTCTCCCATGTCAGAACCGAATCCTCCTTTAGAGCAGATTTTTTTTGCTAATGTTCATATTCCTCTATAGTTATGTTGCTTGCCTCACTTATCCAGCAGTGAAGTATTTTCCTCTCTGCTTTTTTCGGGGGGGGGGGCGGGGGGGGGGCGTCAAGTAGTCAAAACTGACTTATGGTGACCCTGTGGGGTTTCAAATAAGAGACATCCAGAGGTAGTTTGCCATTGGCTGGCCTCCCTTGGTGGTCTCTCTTCCAAATACTGACCAGGGCTGACCCTGCTTAGCTTCCAAGATCTGACGAGATTGGCCTAGGCTGGGCTATCCAGGTCAGGGCCCACTGTGATTTACTGAAACGTTAAACCCCCACCTTTCCACCTAATTTGGGTCTTACGAACAGTTAAAAATCCAGAAGGAACATACAACCAACAGGGACTGACAGCCTGTGGTTTCCATCCCAACAGGGTAGAAAAATCAGTCTCTCTGGGGAACTTTAGGCCAGAAAGCACGACGTGTAATTACAAGCTGCTGGTTTTCAACAGAAAAACAGGCAGCATGGGGGGGGGGGAGGGGGGGGGGGGGTAACACGCAAGACAGTTCAACCAGGCTCACACGTACTGGAAAATGAGATAAACCACTCTAAAAATGGCATTGCGGACCGTATTGCTTCAGACTCCAGGTGGAGAAAGCCAGCACTGCCAGCTAAGAGAGGCAAATGAACCTGTCTTTCCCATGCACTAGCTTTCTAGTTGCATGGAGAACAGCTATAACTGAGCTCAGTAGCACATCAGAAACCAACAAGATTTTGAGACTCATTCCCTTCATCAGCTTTGGCTCCCACGGCGGGGAGGGCGGGATATACATTTAATAAATAATAATAATAAAAAACTCATACCCCCAAAATCTTGTTGGTCTCTAAGATGCTGCCAGACTCAGATATAGCTGTTCCACTACAGACCAACACGGCTACCCCCTGCAACTAGTTGCACGGAGTTCTTTTTATGCAACAAAAATTTCTAAGTGCCCACGTTCTGAAGCGGTGCGGCACATTTTCGTAATTCATTCTGCCGTCTGTGTGAACCAAAGAGGGAAAGGTTTGAGGAAGTTCTGATGCTAATAATAAACAAACACTGTCATGCAGGCTCCTCTTCTCCGACCAGCGAGACGTTCTGAAAGTGGCAATTTACATGGGTGGGTTCCCTCTGAAGGAGAGAGTACAGCAGACTGAAAGTGTTTTCGTAATAATTTGCTTAATTTACAAATAAACAGGAAAAGAACAGCGAGACAGACAACAGAGAGTGACATCCTGCACCTCTAAAGTACTTTACACAAACTGCTCCCAGCGCATGGCTACAGCCTTCTTTTATGCACTTACGGACTCGTGTCTACTCGGGATCTTAAGCCCGTGTCTATATGCCTCAAACCAAGCACTTTGTCTTCCAGAAGTGGAAAGAGGCAAATGACATTCATTTTATACACTTGCATTTAAATGGACAGCAAAAAAGAAAAGTGAAAGGGTAGAGCAGATTAAAAACTAAACAGCAGAGTATCTTGTATATCCAAAGGAGGCCAGTTAGTGTGCAGTCAGGCACTATGGAAAGCGGCTCTAAATAGGGTGGGGTGTTGCTATTTAAGGGTGACAAAAGGGAGAATATAAAATATATTTTGCCTGTCCAAGGGGGTGTGGGGGTGGGAGGGACTCTCAAAGTCTGAGATTCCTTGGAGATTGGGGCAGAAACAGTTCTTGGGGAAGCCAGAGTCTTCTCTCGGTTCCCAAGATGCCCAGATCCAAACTACTGAGAGGACTGCTGGATGCGGGGAATCTAATTAAGTTAAAATGAAAAGACAAAAGGACTCGCCTGGGCAATAATTGGATTGACACTGATAATGTCCCTCTTCGCTGGGCAACTCCGCAAACTTGCTTTCACTTTGGGTGAAGCTGATTCCTTTAAAACTTTAGAAGGGGAGCGCAGATTCAGGGGCATGGGCCAGGTGGAGTTAAATTAATTACCAGGCATTCAACATGGGTCTTCAACAATCATGCACCGAAGCTCTCCAGGGCTTTGTTGTGCGTATAGGTGGTGGGAAGTGTCATCAAGGTGTGGTAGGTGACCCCCACATAGTTTTCAAGGCAAGAGAAAAAGGTGGTTTGCCATTGCCTGCCTCTGCGGACTTTCTTGGTGGACTCCCATCCAACTAGTAACCAGGGCCAACCCTGCTGAGTTCCAAGAGCTGACAAGAACAAGCCACCTAGGTCAGGGCATTGTTTCTCCTGTATGTTATGGATAATCTTAAAACATTTTAACAGAGCATGCACTCCAAAATGATCTAGTGGCTATTTCGCCTTGTCCAGTATGTCGGAGGGCGGGTTGTCTTCTGGATAACAACTCCCATTGGGGGGACCCCCTGTAGACATCAGCTACTTCAGCAATGCCTGTCCGTTTCTCTCTATTTCTGCCAGGATATGAACTGACCTTCCGTTCCATACAGAAACACAAATGTATCTTCCACAAACAAATACAATTCATGCACCCGATGAAGCGTGCTGAGGTCCATGAAAGCTTGCCCCGGAACACGTTTTGGCGGGCTTTAAGGGTGCCCGTGG